AAGACACAGAGGAAGGCAGGGCTTTACTCTCTGTGACCCTGCGGGGGGTGGCGGTGGGGGGGGCTTTGGTGCTGTTCTGTTCTGTTCTCTTCCCATAACGCAAATCAATTTCCAGCAGAATGAGACATTGATTATAGCTGCCTCACATGGCAACAGAAGACATCAGACAGACACCAGTAGGCCTGTGCAACACTAACTATGTGAGTTTGTGTGTGTGTGAGAGAGAGAGTGAGAGTGAGAGTGAGTTAAGGGAGAAAGGGAGGGAGGGAGAGCAGCAGGGTGTGTGTGTGTGTGTGTGTGTGTGTGTGTTGTTGAACAGACCAGATATCTCTCCCTTTACCCAGTTTCTGGGACGGCTGCTAGGCAACCAAGCCACATCCCATCACATCAGGCAAAGCTGAGGGAGAGAGAGAGAGAGAGAGAGAGAGAGAGAGAGAGAGATGGGGGAGGAAGAGGAGGGTGGCAGTATTACATAAGCCGACAGCCTGGTCCCACAGCTCACATTAATGTGGTTGGACACTGGGAAGAGAGACATGTCCATTAGTCACAGGTGACGCGGCAGGTGAAACAGCAGCAGCAGTAACAGCAGTAGCAGTAACAGCAGCAGCAGTAACAGCAGCAGCAGTAACGGCATCAGCGACAGCAGGGACTTATTTATTTATTACTTTTTATTTTTCAGACATCTTTCATACTAGAAACCAGTACTGACACTGTAACAACTCTCTCTCTCTCTTTCTTCTCCTCCCCCCTCTCTCCCTCTCTCTCCCTCCCTCTCTCCTTCTCCTCTTTCTGTACACGCACTCACACTATTGGGTGATGAGTTGCCTTCTTTACCACATAAACAGGACTAACATAACAGGGACTGATCCGGCCCCAGAGAAATGGTCTGAACAAACAAGCTACAAGGATACATGATGTAAAAACACACACACACACACACACACACACACACACGAAAAAACACACACACATATGCAATGATCAGTGTGTGAGTGTGAGTGTATTAACATAAAAGCTGTGTGTGTCAGTGGACCCTTTCATGACCATGACATCAGAGCCTTGAAGTGAAGATGAAGCAGAGCTGCAGCCCCCACTCTTCCTCTCCTCATGTTGAACATCCCTCCGTTCAGTTCTTCTTTCAGATGTAACCAGCACATCTTCATCACGTGACTGTTCGTCCCTAACACACCGAGCTGTAACACCGTTACCTCCTCCACAGGAGACCTCAATTCACGCAGTGACGTAACGGCGCTAACGCCACAGACGTGACTTCGGGGCTAACGCTCCTGCTTCTGTGCAGATGAACGGTTACGCGGCCAGGCCCTGATTGGATGAGCCAACTGTCATTTGCAGCTTTCTGTCATGTTGTCTGGAGCGCAGTAGAACCTGCGGCCTGGAGGTGTCACTATCTGACGATTTGTTCATTGGTCACATGGTCATATGACTATTATTAATTGACAACATCTCAGTTATTGTCATGGTCATATGACTATTATTAAATAACAACATCTCAGTTATTGTCATAAACAGTGTTTCAGTTTGCCCATCTGGGCTGCACATGTATGTGGAGTGACAGTAGGTCTCTTAAATGATGACCAACTGTAATAACCATGCAGACAGAAGCTACTGACCAGTGACCCACCCCCTCACCCCCCGCCCTCCAGTCTCATCAGTGTCCTGTCACAGTTCTCTGGGGATGATGCTGAAGGGTCTGATGGGACAGGAGGCCTCCAGGTCCAGGGCCGTCAGAAAGCACTCTGGGGCCTGGCTGGGGTTCAGAGTCTGCAGGGCCTCACCCAGACCACTCCAGGCCTCGTGGGAGGTGCTGTGGACCTGAACTGCGTCACGCAGAACCTTCTCCCCGAGTTGAACGCGTCCTGTTTTCACCAGCAGGCGGCCCTGGATGGAGGAAGGAGAGAAGGAGAGAATGACCTGGCGTCAATATATGAACATCAAATATATATATCTAATAGTAGTTGCTCCAACGGCATCACTGCAGCAAACAGTCCACACGTTGAGTCATGTGACCTCTGAGGTTCTGGAGGGTGTTGTCACCTGCTTCCTGGCACTGGTACACACATAATGGAACTCTCTATACTCTAGTACGTAAAAATACTTTGGCCTAGAGTAGTAAAATCAAAACAGGTTTCCTCCCTGAAGTAACCTGTTGTAGAAAAAGGAACGCCGCACCCTGTAAACAGCCAACCATGTGTCATCTCCTCCTCTTCCTCCTCCTCCTCCTCCTCCTCCCTCACCCCTGACAACGTGCTGACCCACACACACACACTGCAGTGATAAAGCTGCAGAGTCACATGTACACAAGAGGTGACAACTGACAGCTGCTCATGCACAATATCATCCTCTCCTTCACACTGACTCTCTGACAGACACACACACACACACACACACACACATACTGAGCTGGTCCTTAGGTCGGACAGCTTGGACTTGTTATGCAGACTCCAGTCACAAGCTCCACAGTAATTGGGCTGAAATCCACCCCCTTCCCTGTACTCCACACACACTCTCTCTCTGTGGAAAATGCACAAGAAGACCTAAACTCATATGTGCGGAAAAAGACAGTCACAGGATGACTAGCTTGTACACAACACATTTCTGTGTGTGTGTGTGTGTGTGTGTGTGTGTGTGCGCCACAGCTACAGTAACCAGCCTCTGTCCTCATGTCTGTATTCTCTCCTGACTCACAGGTATCACAGTGTTCCAGCGTTTCTTGCATCAACACACACTCAGCTGCTGGGGCAACACATAGTGTCACACACATAGTCACGCACACACACACATATCCATCTGTGCCACATGTCCGTTATGCTGGTAACCATGGAAAAGTTGATCCTTCTAGTCCTGCAGCTAACTCAAACAGACTCCACAGTGTGGTGTGTGTGTGTGTGTGTGTGTGTGTGTGTATACATGGGCTGCAGCCCAGCCCGTTAGTGCAGTGTTGACATTTATATAGAATAGTGAATCAACAGAGTGCACTGTGCACATTAGCATCGCTGCTCCTCCGCAGAAGACGTTCGTTAATAGCGACATCATCCAGCCTGATTAATTATTTAATTAAAGATTGAAATGATTGATTTCTGATCAATTCTGTTTTATAATGAGGAATTGAACCAGTCACTTCCTCTTTAGATCGTGAAGCCAGTGATGCATTCAGTGTCCTAGGAAAAATTAACTAAGCATTCCCCCCCTGCCCAAAGTTGACTGTTAGTGTTGATAAAACTCTCAGTAACCCTGCCTCCTGTTTATCAAATGTATTCTTATTTGAGTTAACATAAATGTACTGACATGCAGACGTGTTAAACTGATCAGAGTCGTTACTGTATGGTGCAGATAGAAGCTAAGCTAAGACGTTCTTATTCAAACACTTTCTGTTCAGCAGATGGCGTGTAGACGATTCAATTAACACACAGTGTAAACATGTCAGGAAAAAAAAATCAATTAGCACTAGCACCCAATACCAATGCTACTTCAGGTCTGAGACTAAAAAAAAAAGAAAAAATAATTGGAGTTCCTGCTGCTGATGCTGAGGATGGCTGCACCCTCCAGCACATCAGCAGTCTGTGTCCAGGTGATGACAGTCCTGTGTTCTGTCCCTGGTGTGAAGGTGGTGATGAAAGTGAAAGTGTAAATGCATCACACCGACAGCGTGCTACTGTTCCTGGCAGCACACAAATAAAACTGGTGTCTATTAGTTTCTCGCTTTCATTACTCCCAGCCATCTGTCTCCACTTTTTTACCTCCACACAGCCCCTCAGGCCTGGCACACGTCGGTTTCTCCTAAAGCCGTTTAAGCACGAAGTGAAGGAAAACGCGGCCAAAGTGGACGAGTGGGCAGAGGAGTTTTAACAGCTAAATTTAAGTAAGCCTTTGGAATTCTACAGCCCCACAAACAGCGTGTAATTACATGTTGTTTCATCAGCAAAAGCAGAGAGGAGAAAAAGTTTCTTCACTTTCTTCACTGAAATAGACCTGGATCACAGCCCGCCACAGATCTGAGGATTAAAGCGGTGAGCAGGTGGCGCTGGGTCGCTTCCCTCCACACAATATATATATATTATATATAAATATCACTTTTAGATTTCACTGCCCTGCCCTGACACTGAACTAGTCACCTCTAGAATAGACGGTCTGGGTTGGTCCAGCCCATCAGAGGTCTGTGTTCTTAGTAAGACCATGGTTCACTGACTGAGTGACTGTTCCTTTAAGAGGAAATTAGGAAACTGCAGTAAACGTACTCTTGTGCAACTTCCTGTCACTTCCACTGCAGACGCTGAGCCCATTTATACGACGTCTTCTAGAAACCAGATCTTCAACCTCCTCACTCTGTTCCAAACACACTGAAGTCATATGACCAGCCATATGTCACACACACACACACAAATATACATATACATATATACACACTCAATGAAATATTCAAAGCACAGACCAAGTGTTTGATCAGAGCGCAGCAGATGTGTGGCACTGATCTGTGTCTGCTGAGATAGAACACACACAGAAGGAGAAGAGAAGACGTTTTAAAGACGAAAAGAAAGACCACGACAACCACTGTCTCTGTGCACAGGCCTGATTTCTTCCTGTGTGTCACTCCCTTACAGTGTGTGTGTGTGTGTGTGTGTGTGTGTTTGGAGGTGTTGCTCAGTAGGATATATTCCCCTGGTTGCTAGGCAATCCCACAGAGTGGTGAAAATGTACAAAGTGTTATAAATAATGTAGTCGCATTATCTAATCAGCTGATCAGCTGACGAGAGGGGGAGAGAGGGAGAGAGAGGAATAGACAGATAGAGAGACAGAGAGGGAGGAAAGAGAGATTGGACAGATGGGATGTAATTAATTGTTGAGAATTTTCAGTCAAATGTAAAGTTGGAGATGAATAATGTTAATGTTAATGATCAGTGAATGGAACGATGGTTTCAACAGGACAGGGAGTTTGGATGGATGGACGGCTGGATGGATGGATGGATGGATGGACGGATGGATGGACGGATGGACGGATGGATGGAGATTTATTACAAACATACAGACCCACCCAGAGAGAAGGGGGAGTCAGGGGGAGTCAGGTGGTGGTCAGCTGGAGTCAGCTGGAACCCCAGTGTATTCTGGGAAAAATATTACATTTCCATTTACAGTTAACACTTTTGGAGGCTTTGTTTTCAAGTTTGCATACATACAGTATGCAAACCTGAGTTGTGTGTGTTAGTGTGTGTGTGACACACTGTTATCTCGTGGTCCAGTCGATCGTTAATTCTCTTCCTGTAAATCACTTTGGTAAAAGACTCTGCTGTAGATGTGAATGTAGTAGATCCGGTCTGACTCAGAGAGACTCAAACTTCTGTGCGGCGACTTTTCCACTATCGGATCGTTGCTTAGAAACAAAACAAGATGTCACTGCTCCCCTAATCATTTATTTATTTATTTATTTTTTGGCAAGAAATGACAATTCCCAGTGAAAAATGCCCAAATACTGTTGGTTTTCCTCAGCTTTTTCTCACTGGTGTCTGTGCTCAGCATCAGCTGCCAGAAGAATCCATCGCACACAAGAGCATGGCTTAATGGCTAAGAAGTACACACGAGTGTACACACGAGTTTACACTCATGTGAACACTTCACTATATGGGGTCGTAGCCTGACAACGCTGTTAAACACCGTAGGACTTGAGGAAAAGTACAGTGTGTACTTTTCCTGAATAATAGCTCGACTGTAAAAGTGTCTTCCAATAATAATTTTAGAATTTCCCTCAAGGCAGAGCAGAGTAAATGGGCCACTGGCACAGTGTGTCCTCGGCAGATACAGCATAAAAATACAGTCGCAGTGGAAGCAGCAGCAGCAGCATCTGTCGGCTGGACTCCAGCAGAATGAATGGAACAGGAACTGTGGGCAGCGTTCCACACCGACTTCCTGCTCAGTCCCCGAAATTTACTACATCACCGTGGACCTTAAAGCCACAGGAGAAATTCATTTTATTTGTCGGTTAGAGTTTCGTGGTCTGTCCACTGAGACCAACCAGACCTGTCAGATTTTCTGAGCAGAGCTCATCATCATCATCATCATCGTCATTCTTCATCAGGATGAGTCACGTGATGACGTTGGTCAGAGCAGATGCTATTGTCTAATGAGACCAAAATAAACTTATCAAATACCTAATACTCCTGCAGGACTTTAGAGGAACTGCATGATGTGGCATTTGAGTTGTCCTTGTTCTAAAAATGTTGACTGAGATTCATTACATCTACATTTATGGATTTAGCAGATGTTTTTACCCAAAGCAACTTACAGAGGAGGATTAACATTATCAAGCATGTGGTTCCCTTTGGGAATCGAACCCAGGGACTCTCTGTTCTCTGCTGCCGAGGCAGGCGTGCTGACGGCCGCACTACGACTCCCTGCTGCATCTTAAAGTGGGCTCGCAGAAAAGTCTGACTTTATAATAAGTGAAGAAATAGCTTGGGTTTCTATTTACGGACGTGAAAACAGCTTCACTTCTGGCCGACGTCCACGGCTTCACCCTCACAGTGGTGCAGCTCTGCCCACTTCTTACACACGGTCTATGGAGAAAAGTGAACACTTTCTAGAGCAGCAGAGTCCAAGGAAGGAAGAAAACTGTGTATTTTTGTC